GAGAGAGAGAGAGAGAGAGAGAGAGAGAGAGAGAGAGAGAGAGAGAGAGAGAGAGACGGGAAAGGAGAGAAAATAGTATCATTTAGGTAGAGCGACGTTAAGAAAGCAACACAGAGAGAAAGAGAGAAGCAGTGCGTATATTCTGTGCCGGCACAGAATATCTCTGTTAAGACACGATAACGAGAAGGAATTCTCTTTTCGACGGAGGGAAACTTGTTGTTCGCGTCGGCATTCGCATTCGAGTATCGTTCTTATTGCGCTATTAGAGGTACCCGTCGTTATCTTTATCAATAGGACATTATAGCGACGGAAGTCTACTTGCGGTGAGCCGGCAACATATATTCTCATCAGCCGGGAACGACAAGAGAATCTCGTGAGTGCACCTGCCGGGTTGGGTATTAGGAGAGCTGGGACAACTTTCCATGAGGAGACGCGCGGAAGCTATCGCGTCTCTAAATGTTTTGTCGCGTCTTAAATGCGGGCGCGACGCGCGCGACGCTAGCGCCGGTACATTTTGATATAATGCACGCAACGCGCGGCAAAAGTTTACAGAGAAAATCATACGGTTCGATAATCGCGTCTCGGGAAAATGTTATGATTCGATGTGAAAGAGCTTGCGGTTATCGCGGCATAGATATATTCCTGTTATTGCAGTATAGATATTTAGCGTTCGCGCGCGGTTACGATCTTTTTGCGGTTTTCATTTTATACGACTTTCATGACCGCTTGGCGGTTTTGCTTTCACGGCAGCGAGCGCGAGTTCTCTCCTTGAACAATTTGAAATAACGATCGGAACGCTTGCTTTTCACACGGCGGTCCACGGCGCGGATTTGGATCGTAGATCCTTTCAGTATCCCGTTATAGAGCCTCGCGTTTGCGCTTGCAGCCGCGTTTGGCTACTATCTCGCGCCCCTATTTCGACTCTATTCTGTCTCCCAACGGCTCGTAATTTCCGAGTCTCTGCACTTTCCTCGTCGTTACCCGCGGCTTCTCTTATTTATGCGCGTCTTCCGCGGTTGCGCGTACGCGGCGAGTAAGTGTTGTGCGATTTTTTCGCGTTTGTTGTGAGCACGAGACGCTGAAGTTGAGATACGGATCAAGAAGCGTAACCGGCGTATCCGCTTGCGTCAGCTTATAAAAATGCGCGCTTACCTTGGTGAGTACATCAAAAGGGAATACCGAGATATATTCGGTGTGTGTATGCATGTACGTATCGACAATTCGCAAGAGTACATAGTTCTCTCTCTCTCTTTCAACATACTCAACAAGACCGCAAACAGCGGTGCGCCACGCTCCAGAAATAAAACGACACGGCGGCAAACATGACGCCCTCGTAACTCGTAAAAAAGTGCACACACTACGCGGCTAGTAATGCGTTCGATCCGAAAAATCTTCGGCGTATGCGCCAATTATTTTCAGGTGTGCCAGGATTTACCGCAAATTTTACATAATCGGGACATATCGGTACTCCGACGTCCGTATTTTTCTGCACAAGCAAAATGCCATTGAGCGTGCACGCTTCCGATGCAATAAATAGGCGCGGGGGTTTGGCTGCGCGTGAATTATTTTTTGGCTTTTACCAGAGAATAACTGAACTATGATGAGTTCGAAGGGACTGAACGTATTTTTTTAATACTTTTCATTTCCCGACGTATGATTGCAAATGACGTTGGCGTCAATGTTACTTTTCGTCATGATTTCATTCAGTATTCTTTTCAGTAACTTACCCCGTGTTGCGGTGTAGTTGTTGTTGTCACACTCGCTGTCAATGTCGTAAGACTGCCGTGATGTTGCCATGATGTCGTTATAAGCTGTTATTACTCGCCGAATTAATTCACACACAAGTTTCCTGGAAAAAGAAAAATATAATAAATAAATTGAATAAATAAAAATATAAATCTAGTAAATATAAATATTTGTATTTTACAAATATTTTTTAATAAATTGAATATATTGGAAAAGTAACGGTAATGTAATCTAACCTGTGCAAAATTTAAACTAAGTTTAATTAAACTTAATTTTAACTATTTTTTGAAATTATAATTTTATTTATATTAATTTTCAACTCTATCTTTCCATTAACTCGTTCCATTAATTTTTTATTAACTCACTAAATTAACATTCGATTAATTCTATTAACTTACTGTTAATCGGACTTACTGGACTCATAGCAAACTTGTCACACTTGCTGTTGATGTTGTGACATTACTGTGACACTGTTGTTATTATTTGTCCAACTAGACCACATACATCTTCTGGAAAAAAAGAAATATAAGGAATAAGTTGAACAAGCAACAACAAACTTAATATAAGCGTACAAAATTCAGACCAATGTTTTTAAGGTATGATTTTGTTAACATTAATCCTTAACTATTTATCTTTTTATTAACTCTCTTTATTAACTCACTATTAACCTTTTACTAACTTATCGTTAACATTATTAACGATAGACTTGAAGAAAACTTATGCTTGCTGTCAATATTGATGTCACTACACATTGTTGTTATTGCTCACCAAATTAAACGTACATTTCCTGAAGAAAAAGAAAGAGAAACATGAAGAATAATTTAAATAATGAGACAACTTAATCTATATAAAATTCTAGCTAAATGTTTTCGAGATGACAATTTTGTTGAAATTAATTCTCAATTTTCTATTAACTCACTAATCGTGAACTCAAAGCAAGCTTGCTGTGACATTGTCGTTATTACTTGCTAACCTGGCTTACACACCTTCCCTGAAGAAAGAGGAACATAAAGAATATATTTATTGAATAACAAATAACAACTTAACCTAAATAAAATTCGAGCAAACGTTCTCGCGATTATAATTTCTTTGACATTAATAATCAACTGTTATTAACTGTTATTAACTTACCATTAATCGCGAACACAAAACAATCTTTCTCGTATAATTTAATATGGTATTATTATAGTGTAATATTATGTCATAGTGTAATATTTACATTATATTAACGCGTCCAAATGTCCGAAATCTCTGATGTCGAACAACAATTTTCAATGTAATAACCTCGCTTGCTCGCAGCTCACATATTTCGTGAAAATACCTTCACGATGCGAGAGCTCTCGAAAATTCCAGCGGTTTCGTAGTCGGGATCCCAAAATGTCGGCCATTACAACGTATATATTTTGGCGGGCACTTACTGTCTATCGTCGGGGGATACGTGGATCGGTGGGCTGATGGCGCCATTAGCCGCTATCGTCAAGTTGACAACATCCCTGTGTGCAATCGTAGGCGGGCGGCGGTTCGCAAGTGGCCGAGCCGACGTGTCTCATCTGAGCGTGAAAGAAAGCCATCGCGTTAAAAGACGTGAAATATCCGTGCGGCAATATCGAACGAGTCACGCGACATTAGCCGGCAAGCATCGAATATCTTACGCGACATTAACCGCGCTACGTGCATACGTCGACGACACAGAGCGAGGGAGAGAGAGAGAGAGTTGTGTGAAATACGTCGTTTTACAAGTACCTACCGACGCTCGTGCACTCGCATCGTCCCGTCCATCCTCCGTGCGGAATGTTGCGTATCATTGTTGTGAAGCAGGCGCTCGCTAGCGACGAAAGGGCGAGCGGGGAGGACAAACACAAGTCGCGGTCGTCCAGGCGTTAATCAAAAGAATGCGCCAGGCGGAAGCCGTTCGCGTTCGCGCGCTGGGCACACTTCGCGAATGCTTCGGCCGCCGTCGGCAATCTTCGGCCGCGCTCGGGCGGGCGACCGGCGCGCGCCCCATGCCCCACTCGCGCACCGCTCAGTGCTGGTCGTGCAGTCGTCGCGTCTTTATCCTTTTCACGCTTGGCTGAGTGAAAAGTCGACTACCGCGAGTTACCGATCATCATCATCCGTTCCGAGTGATCCCGACGATTCCGCCGGACTGTGTGGAGTGTTGTCGAGAGCCCGGTGGCCGTGTCAGAGAGTATTCACACGAGACACCATCGCGTCGAGATCTATCGGAGTTTTGGCAGCAGTGAGGACCGGCCAGTGTGGAAGTTGTCCAAACGCGGCAATCAGTACTGACAATCAGGGGGCGAAAAAACGATATCGGCGCGAATGACGCGAGCTAACCGCGGTGCCCTCGGCTTGCAACAAGTTGCAGGAATGCTTTCGAGTGGATTCTAACGAATTCTTTGATTCCGTTTCTTCGTTCGCGAGTGTGTTCTTCGTCTGTCCGTTTGTTCGTTTATTCGTTCGTTCGTCGTGCGTGCGTGCGTGTGTGTTCGTGACCGAGAGGATTAATTCGACGATGGTCCTGTGAGAAGCCGCTGTCAATCTCGGTCATGGCAATCGGATCTCTAAACCTAGTGTGGACTGTAATCAAGAGCGATTGTACTCGAAAATTATGTCGCATGGCGTGATCGTGATCTCCGAACATTCTTCCGAAGGTAAGGCCGTATTTTGTGTTTTCTCTTTCTCTCTCTCTCTCTCTCTCTCTCTCTCTCTCTCTCTCTCTCATCTTTCTTCTCGTCTATGTCCAAATTTATATGCGCGCACAGATGGCAAGAGAGGGATGATCGATGGGAAACATTCGCGAGAGACTAACAATTTGCATAAGCATCGTATGATAGACGATATTTCAACGAAACGATCAATACGCCGCGGTTAATGCTTATCCTGCTAATAAATGGGAGTTTACATTGTAAATGTTGATCATTAGCTACTGAGCCATTTAACTGAATTCGTAATTGTATACGCGATATTACGTGCTAATATATGTGCATTTATTTCGAATGGCAATGTCGAAGAACAGACGTTTTCGCTCGCGAAGCCACTCGGTTCGCGGATATCGCGTTATCGATAGATCGATAGCGGACAAAAATTTTCGTCCGGCCGCATCCGTATTTAGCTATGCACATCTCATGACTGTTGATCCAGAAAGCGGGGACGTGTGTTTATCAGATCGATTAACAGTGATGAGAAACGCGGAGCGTTTCGGAAATGTACGTGGCAGGTCGAAAATTGTAGGCAACTATCGATCTATCGAATAATTAGGCTTCCGCGAGACTGACAGTACACCCCTTGCTAACAGAGTGACGCCACCTGTCAAGATTCAGCGTCGTGCAGATGTGGGTTGCGTCTTATTATCTTTCTCTGTCCCTCTAATTATCACTGAATTTCTAACTCTCTCGCACACATTACGCGTAGAAAGCAGGAGTAGAGGCGCACTTTCGGCAGACAAAAGCGCGACGATGTCCAGGACTGGTCGATGCAACAGGATTGAAGATGTGCAATCGGTAACTATGGTTGGTATTCATAGTCCGATCTTATATTTAAGTTTATCTTAAGTACTGTCTTAAGATGCCATGAACCAATCACAGAGCCGTATTCGCATCTTAAGACGTTACTTAAAACGGTCTTGAAATAAGATTCGACTATGAATATCGGCCCATGGATCTATAAAATTGTCATTCGCGAATTAAGCAACAGAGCGCGTCGTTGCGGAAGTGCGGCAACGTTCATGCTTAGCATGCATTTTCGATATATGTTGTCAGTCTAGTCATTTTCGATCCTTTCTCGTTGAGTGGCCGCCATTGACGTATCGATCGACATCGCTCCGTGTTTACACGCGTCTTTTGCTGTCGCGAGTGAGTCTCGTGTGGAAACAAGTGTCGGGAATGTCGAGGGTAGCAACGTGCGATTATCGGGATGTATTGTAAGTACCTTATTAGCGAGTAATCTTCTCGTTCTCGGTGCATACACCGGTGTCGCGACGTGCCGAGTCGGTGTCTCTTACACCTGTTATTACAAGTGTCTCGCTCAAATAGTATCGGACGATCGCCGGATTTACTGACCGACCATGAAAAATGCGATGATAATCGCCCAGTAAACACAAAGTAACTAACATAACATCAATGCTACAATTTTCTATTCAATGTAGTTGTTATATAACGTGCATGTTATATTGTTGAGTAGGAAATTATAACATTCATATTATGTTACTGTTACTTTGTGTCTAGGCGGGGAAGAAGAGCGACTAAAATAATATCCTAGACATACACGAGTTTTGCGCGCCGCAGTGTCAGTCTGTTAACCAGAGGGAGAGGAATGAGAAATGTATAGAGCGCGACACCGTTCAGGTCTTAACGCGAATTTTCGTATATCATCAATCGCCCGGCCATTTTCGACCCTTATGTGTCGAGCAACCACCACTGACGCATCGATCGACGTCGCTTCGCGTTTTACACGTCTTTTATTTGTCGAGAGTGAGTGTCGGAAGTGTTGAAAATAGCGACGTGCGATCGTCCGGATGTATCGTGAGTACATTATTAACGAGTAATTAACCCGTTTTTCGATGTGTACAACCGGTGCCTGTCGCGACGTGTCGAGTCAGCGTCTCTTAAGCGATTGACGATTGAAGATTTTTGACGAATCAACGAGCTTCAATCTTTGCTTTGTTCCAAGCTTGCTTTGTTCCAAACTTGCTTGACCAATTGGTCAAGTTCCAATCTTCAATCGTCAATTATCAATCGCTAATCGGTAGTGTGATTTGGCCTTTAAGCCCGTGTCACACTACGGATTGAAGATTGGAACTTGACCAATTGGAGTCAAGCAGGCCAAGACCAAAGTGCATTGATTCGTCGAAATCTAATCTTCAGTCCGCAATCAATTTCCAATCCGTAGTGTGACACGGGCTTTCGCAAATGGATTGCCGTAACCATAGGCATAAGACGTAAACTTTAGTCGAGGGATCAATTAGGATTTTTCCATAGTTTTGTGTATTCGAGAAGAAGATAGAATTCAGAAGATACGGCAGTTAAATCTGATCGTATGCAGAAGCAACCAAGATTCATCTAGTTAAAATCCTAGTTACTCAGTCTGAATTCTACTTATACGGTCACGTCAGTCTTCTAACCAAAAGAATCCTAAGGCAATATCCTGATTGGTTCTTTAGCTTAAGTTTACGACTTACGTCTATGGTTACGTCAAATCATGTTCGACAGCCCTTATGCCCGCATCAGTCTATGAATTGGGGATTGCAATCTCGTCAGATTGACTCATCGGGTAATCTAAATTTTGGTTCTGCTTTGCTCAATCGGTCCGATTGTAATCCTTAATCCACAGCCTGATATGGATATTATATTTCTCACTTAATCGACTCACACGAGCAATAATAGAATCGGGCGATCGTCGAATTTATTAGTCGTTAATTAGAGAAATGTGGTGATAGTGGGAAAGAGAAACGCAAATAATGCCAGACACCGAATTTTGGTTGATGGCATCGGTCTGTTAGCAACGGATTAATTTACATGCGCACTCGACTCGCAAATTATACTTTGTTGGGATATAATATTCATCACCGGCGTCCGGCAGGCTCCGAAATATCCCGTAAAGCGATTACCGGGTAATTTGAAAGGATCTCGAAGGTAAATGCTTCCTGTTGACCGGAGGACTGTAAAAACACCGTAAACACGTCAGGTTAAGTCGCGCTATGTCGCCAAGTACGCTTGAAGTTCTCCGTCTCTCGTGTATTTACGTGCGCACGATTATTTCGCACTGAGAGAAGTGTTTGGTATTTGCAACTGTAATCACATTGTAAGTTAAAGTACATAGAAAAGTTAGTAATTACTATAAATTATAATATATAGACGATTTATTATTTTTATTAAATCTTTTATTAAATTCTACTATATTTTTTTAATTAAAATCTACTATAATATAGCGACGATAATCTGAGGGAGAATCACATCTTGACAGAAAAACAAAAGACAAAAAAGCAGTGAGGCGGTAATTTAGTTTCGCTTTTTTAGCGCGAGTTTTGATTGACTTTTGTCTTTCTACTTTTCTGTCTATGAATTCTCTCTTATATGCATGTTATATGATTTTATTTGAAAAAAACGTATTGTTGGGGTAAAAAATAACTACAACTTTAGTTAGATCAACCATTTTTTTCTCAGTGTACGTGCGTTGCTGAGATAAATATTTCTCTATGGTGCAGAGTCCCAAGGGACGTGAAACCGGGCGCATTCTTCGTATATTTATTCCGTATTATCTCATTATTAAAATTCTCCACCTGGCGCTCCCTCACCCGGCGATCCTTCCGCGCTCATCTCGTCCACCTCCTATGTAATGCGGGAACAGAGACGACGGCGACGCGACGTTCGTAATTTTTAATTGCCGGACGCGGAGTCAACAATCGCGCGGCGTGTCCTTTTTTTCCGCCGCATTCGGCTTTGTTGTGCTCGTTACCGCGCTGCTCCTCGCACTTTGTGACATTCCGTCTCTAATTTTGGCGCGACAACTTCGCGGCGCGCGTGTCAATTTGTAAATTTTTAATTGTGATGTGCCGAATGTGTGTTTACGGGCGGAGGACTCATCGGGTCGACCGTCGGCCGCGACGACGAGGATTCGTGCGCGAAATAAATTAGGACGGCGAACAATGAGATTCTCGCTGAGAACGCGTGTCGATGTTAACGAGTGAACGTGCGCGATATAACGCGCGCTCGATTGGGGGTGTTGATTCTCAATTAATCGGCGATACGAAATCGGCGCGGTTGTGAAAATAAAATAACATTATCGACGCGCGCCCAGCGCTGTATCGCGTTGAAATAATGAGATATTATTTTGCTATTTTAAAACACCCGCTGCATATGCCAATACTGAATATTGGAAATATTATGTTACGTCGTAGGGAATATCGGAGTCGTATTTCCTGCTTTGCGGTGGTGACGCGCCGCTCCTACTCGCTAAAATATTTATGAGCGGTAATAGAATTGCATTACGATATTCACGTCATTACGTATGTAAGACGAAACGTCGAGTAATATCGCGTCGTGTTCGCGCGAAACTTACCGTACGGTAAAATCGTAAATTAATCTCAATCGGGTCGCGTTGCCTTTTGACGCGTTTGCCACTCGCCTTTCCCACCTGCATCATAAATCTTAGACAATTTGAAGAATAAATACGCGTCGTCCATCAGGCACACGCACACGACATACACACACACACACACACACACGCACATATGCGGGGCCGCGTGCCGAGCGTTCGTTGAAGATCTCGACTGAACGACCCCGACTGACTGCGCGAATTCGCAATTCAGCAGTTGGAATTTTAATCTTTGTACAATTTCCATATTAAATCGGCGCGCGGTGTCACCAAAGAAGAAGGACCTTCCTTCGAAAGAGAGGGCCCTTTTCGATCGCGTACGAAGCGAGCGACGTGCGATCAATCGGACGGATATACGATAATGCTAGGAACGGTTACGAGCGTATTACACGGGACTTAAATTGGGCTTGTCACTCGTTGACTGGCAATTTTCTCGAAAAAGGGTGCGCGTTGCCAGTCACGAAAACAATTTGTGCCTTTGTGCGATCGGAGAGATGAAAGAGCTGCCTATGAAAAAGAGCTGGCACATCGGCTTCAGAAATTATACCTGTTGGGGGAT